ATCCATTACAAGATAAAGGTAACTTACCTAAAAAGTGCACTCAAAAATGCAGAGCCCGCGCTAAATCTCTGAGTACAATAAATAAGTTATTACCAGATTCTGGATTCAAATGCAAATTCAAAGCATGAAAATGGCTGAATTGTAGCACTTAATAGAAGTATGAAAAGAATAGAAATAAAAATTAAAAAAAGAGTTTACAAACTACCATAACTTTAGTGACACTAGAGTTATATATAAATTTAAAAAAAAATAAGTAATTTTATCTAATATTAGAATATGGAGGTAAAACTACAGCTAGGAAAAATGATAAACTTATAATGTAATATATATTGTATAATATATATATATTATTATAAGTTATCATATATTGTGTATAATATAATATGGCTATTATAACATATTCGTAAGTATTTTATTTATTAATTTGTACTGTATTTTTACCATTATGTATTACATTAGTTCTGTCTAGATAAATCGTAATAAAACCTTTAATATGGCAATTTTTTCACCGTTGTATTTTTAATAATTTAACTTCTAATATAATAACAATAATTCTTAATAATGGATATTTCAACAATTTTAAGACTACGTTATTTAAACAGTCTTAAATCTATTAATTAAAATAAAATTTCTTTTTATAACAAATATTTTGATTTTACAGATTTATAATTATTAATTCTTATGTTAATCTTATATTAGAGAGCTTTGACCAATACATTTATGGTAACAAATTTATATTTCAAATGTAGAGATAATTAGAAGTCTAGCATGTGAATTAAATAATAAATTACTATCGAATCCTCAAGCATATGGTCAGTGGTCATTTTGCGTCCATTCTCTATAAGTACAATTAAAAAATGGGACAGAAGAATCCCCATATTTTCTCACAACTATGGGAATGCAATGACGAGAATAAAAGGAGTATGTATTTTTACATTTTGTATAATATATTAAAAATCACACAAATAACTGTTAATATATAAAAGCATTACATATCAATAGCAAAACAACAATGAATAAAGGAAATTTAAATATAAACTAGTGTAATACTGTAATCAAATAATTTCTTCGCCATTTAGCTCAAATCGTCTTTATAATTCATGGTTTTCGAATTCCAACATTCAAATATATCACAGTTACAATCATATCAAACTCGTATATTAGTAGTATAGAAACAACGAGAGGTTTGCGCGAGCAGAAATTGGCATCCGCTTCCCTCGCTGAGCTGGCAACCCGACTGTTTGCCAGCTCGTGCTCGAAAAGAGTGTCCATCTTTGTCCATCTTTTGTGATCTATTGTCCATCTTTTACCGTTCTCGTTACACTCCCCTACTGGTTCCGAAGGCATTGTGCTCGATAAGGAACAGGCAGAATGGTCTTACTTGGATCTTCCGGCAATGTAGTCGATAGTTAGATTCCCCCCGTACACCGCCGAAGACCGTCACGGTGAGGTGATGTACTATCAGAAATTACGGCATTCTCTCCAGCAGTTCCTCTAGGAATCAATGGCTGCGTGACCTTCCTCTTTTTCTGAGTTACTACAGGAGACTCGGTCTCTGTACCTTTCAGAAAAGGTGTTAAAGCTGATGTATGGTAGACACCTAAAGGTTCGTCAGGTTTGTCACAACTGGCTACTACAAAGGTAGGGGGAGATCTCTGGGTTAACACAATGCATAGCCCGTCTCTCCTATTATAAACTATTTTATCATTAGAATAATGCAAATTTTCTTCACGTGAATACCCATAAGAATTTCCGCTGGTGTTCTGTTATAATTCCTTCTAGAATGATTTTCCTGAGCAAATTTACCTCCCTGATAGTGATAATGGTTTTCTCTATAAGACGATGGATGCTGTCTCTCATTATATTGATTATGATAACCTCTATATTTTGTCTCCCTCTCTTAAAAAGTCTCTCCTCCCTTCTTGAAAATGAGTATCAGAGCGATATGCATTTCTCACTCTGGCGATAAAAAAATGCACCATTTGAAGAATTTCCAGCACAGATATCTTGCCTTTTGGATTCATCTTTATCATCACATTCAGTCTGATTATTTTGGAAACATTCTTTATCACTTGGTGACATACTTTCAGAAGCTTCACTTAAGGATTTATTCGAAATTTGTGCACAGTCACTTTTGAGTTTTCAATGTCATAATTTTGTCTTCTAGCATCTTGATAATTTTGATTTTTATTATGGTACTTTTCATAAGAATTAGGCTCATACCTTCTCCCTCCGGTATCTGAATTAGAATGGTGATAGAAATTCCCTTTCTTTTCCCCATCATATTTTCTATTTGAATCGTTATACTTAGCCCTTTTATTCCTTTTATTTGAAGGAATGTATGATCTTGGTCTAGGACATAAATCTGTAACTAGAGAAGTATCAATACAGGCTTCAGCAGATTAATCCTCTGAATCAGCCTTATTTTGAGGCAAATAATATTCTTCCATATAATGTTCCTCCACATCAAATCTTTCTGGAGAATAGCGACCCTTATTTTTAAACCGGTCAGAGCGCTGTTCATTGGGTTTTGGATATCTGTTAAATTTTTGGTTTCCTCTATAAGAATTATTGCGATTAGAATTACCTCTTGACTGCTTATTGTAACCATATCTATCATTTTTTGTCCTTCCATCATACCTCACGTCTTCATTTCTAGGTTCATTACCAGAACCAATACGCATAACTTAATGATGCTCTATCCTTTTCTACTTGTTTCGTGTATATTAGCCAAAAGGTTATCAATTTCTTTCCTTACGAGTTCTTTCCTATTTGGAGATAGTATATTAGGTGTGGATGAAACTGGTTGATGAAATTTGTGTTTGATCTGTTTGACGAATGGAGTTGATTCTCCACCTAGTCTGAAAACATCTTTACTTTCATTAAGCAGGACCATAAGATCATTTCTTTCTTCTACATTTAGGGCCTGTCCTTCTTATTCTCACAAGTGGAGATCAGTGGTCTCAGTTTCATCGACAGAGTTGCTTTGTAACGGAACCTCACTGGGAATCGAATTTGTGGGCCGCAAGAAGTACTATTTATTTCGACAGGACTGTCGTCTACAGGCAAAGGAGCATCTTTTGCAAAAAGTATTCTGAAGCTTGGTTTGTCAACAAAATACCAAAAATTGTTACGCATGTCCATTACGATTCCTGATGTCCTTAAAAAGTCGACACCTATAAGAGTGCGGTTACCTTTTGCATATGGCAAAAAAATTAAATCAATTTGGAAAGTTCGTCCATCTATGGTGATTGGTACCGTAGCCTTTTGAACAAGGGATGTGGATTGTTGACCATGAGCTAGAGACGTAGCAAGATGAAATTCGGAGAATTTTTGCCCACGGTTTTTTAAGAATTTAAATTTTAATTCTCCCCGACTGACTGGCTGGCTCCTGTATCAGCACAAACTGTGCCTGAATCCTCATAGACTTCGATGTCAAGTAGAGAGCTACTGGGGAGGTAAGACAAGTGAACATCTGTATGACGTTGACAGAAGCACTCTCTTTTTTTAGTGAACATTTTGGACATTTCTATTTTATAAATCCAGATTTACCACAGCCATAGTATGAAATAGGTGGATGACAACCAGTGTTAATGTTTCGTGCTGGCATGTAGCTAGGATTAGCAAAATTACTCTTGTGGTTACCCGAAACATTCTTTTCAACTTTAAATGAATGAGATTTTCTTAACTCTAGATTACCTGTGTTTCTAGAAAACGGGGGATTATTTAGCTCTCGTGGTTTCGGGAGTTTTGTTAATTTTTGCGAAGAAGGTTTAACATTTTCGTAAGAGTCCAGCTTTTCAGCTAACACAACTGGATCATTCAGTTTTTCCCAAGTGTCTAAAAAATGATTCTTGTAATCAGGTGGACATTTTTTTTTATTTGATCTGCTATGATAGGCTGTATCTTAAGCTTTTCAAGGTCAAATGCTCTATGCTCAGCTAGGCACTTATTCTCACGTTCCCTTTTCTTTATGACTTCAACTTCAAGCGATTTCCGTTCTTCAACAATGTTATCCAGTATCTCTTTCACAAACTTCTCATTATCCTTAAAGAAAGTACACGTAGTGATTTTTTCACGCAATTCAATGATTCTATCATCTAGAGTCACAGAGACTCGTAGCTCACTTGCTAAATTATAAAGGTCAATTTTCTTGCCTTTTGAGAGAAAAGCCATATTTGTCTCATAAAATAAAACTAAATGTGTAAAACCACTTGTAAAACTGTACTCTTGTAAAACTTGTAAGACTTAAAAACTTGTAAAACGAAACTGAACGATTTTTCGGGAATCATCATAAAAAGTCCAATAGTCAAAATGGATCAGTAAGCAAAATTGAAATTATTTGAATGCAATCCAAAATTTCTTCGTTGTCGACAGCTATATTTCATAAACTACTTTAAATTTCTTTATGAACTAGGTGTTCAGAAATTGACTTGATAATTTTTCGTTGGGCGCCACTTGTAATACTCTAATCAAAGAATTTCTACGCCGGTTAGCTCCAATTCTTGGTTTTCGAATTCAAACTCATCATCATTCATATATATCAAAGTTGCAATCATATCAAACAGATAATAGTATAAAAACAACGAGAAGCTTGCGCGAGCAGATATTGGCATCCCTTTCCTCGACGAGCTGGCCAGCCGACTGGTTGCCAGCTCGTGCTCGAAAAGTTTACGTACTATTGTCAAACTTTTACTATTCTCGTTACACAAGTACTATACAAAAAATTAAGTCAATTCCCACTTAGGCAACAAAGAAAAATTTTATTTTTTTGTAACCTTTTATTAAATAGTTACAATTAATATAAATATACACATGACAGAATCACAATATTAAGTGACAAAATGAAAAGTGATTTTCCTGGCAATTTTCCATTTTCCTTTCTATATATGGAGTTGAACTATTTTTTTTGTTTATTATAATTTATCCATTCATTAAATTTAATTATTCTAATAAAATAGTATAATATAAATTAAATCACATTCTCAGAAATTAGGCCACCCACAAGGTGGGATTCAAACCCACGACCTTTGGATTAGGAAACCAAAGCGCAATCCATTGTGCTACAGGGACACAATGGCAAATTGTCCTTTGTATTTATGCTGTTGGACTTTTATCTTTGTTTGTTATTATTTATTCATTTTTTAATTTAATTAATGAATTAATATTTAAAAAGACGTATTAACATCAAGTCTCATCACCTGCAAGTTTAAAAGAATGTATTTGAACTTGAATGGATGGAAAAAAAGCATTTTATTAACGATCGAAAATATGAACAAGATATATATATATATATATATATATATATATATATATAGGGAAGAAAAAGTGAATTATAATAGTAGGAATTGAAAAAAACCAATTGTAACAATATTGTAGTTGAATTTTTGTATCAGATTATGCTTGAAATGAAACATAAAATTTTTGAAATATGATTGTGAGCAGGCTACGCAGTGAAATATTCCTGCCCATCCAATGAAAATTCGTTACTGTAGTTTTGACAACCAAAAAGATGTTTCGGATATAATCATTAATTTTCAATATTCAAAGCGAAATTGTCCTGTAATTCTTAATTTTATCTTCTAATAACGCTGAATTCTGTGCTGTTATTCGATCTATATTATCGACTAATTAAAAACAAGTTTACTGTCTTCTTTTGAATGATGCTCTTTTTTCAGTTATCCCATCTCTTTTTAGAAAACTGTAGTTTTCACTGCGATTTAATATATAAGTTGAGTAATAGAAATAACGCGTTTGTGACATGTCACACGACCCTAAATAAACTCAACTAAATGTATTTACATTTTATTCCAATTCTTTCAGAAATATAATAGAATAATAAAGAACAGAATTAGAAATTAAACATCACAAAAGGTGTTCAATTAATATGAATCACGGATATATAATTGCCATAAACCGTTCTACCATATTTAGGCTGTTAAATGTATACTCGTATAATGGTAGCGTTCACTAAGATAATTATCAATTTGTACATTGATTAGGAAGCGCAGACTAGTTTTACTAATAATGCAATTTGACCTAAATTTGGCCAAACTTAATTATAGTTACACAGTAAGGAATATATTAACCTCACAGAGTTTGAAATATATTTCCTGTTTCCATATACCTTTTCAAATAAAAAAATGTCCAATGTTCAGCAGAAAACTCATGCCTTTTATACTGATATATGCTGACAAATTGCTCTTATTTTATACAGGAATTCTTCTGTTTGAAAAGAATATTGAAATGTGTAATAAAATATAAATACTGCTACTCTTAAGTTTTATAAGACAATACTACTGCTAACCTTAAGTTTTGTGATACAATAACACTGCTATTATTATTTTTATTATTATTATTATTTGGAATATTAGATAATTACAATTTTTTGAGATATTTGTTAGCTGCTCTTTTCAGCCGTAACAAATATTTTAGAAATATGATTTCGAAGAAAAAGTACAAGTACTTTTGGGTGAAGTAATTCTAAAAGTATTTAAATGCAGAATAATTGTCTTAGCTAGTCGTTTTTACATACAGGTTTTAATGTAATTCACATTACACTTTTTTTCCATATTGTTAAATGTTGTATTAAAATGAGCATCTCCAATCGTGAGAATGAGTTTGATCATGATTAATTAAATCGTTTTTTAATACAATAAAACGCAAAGAATTTTTGAAATAATAATATTTATTAAATGTTTCCTGTTTACTGAAAAAGAGATTTATTTCACATAATTAAATGATATGTATATATTATTTAAAAATTGACTTGAAGATTGATTGAACAAAAAAATGCGATACAGATGATTTAAACATTTAAAATTATACATTAATATTTCATAAAAAGAAATTTGTGTAACCCAAATGAAGAACTAAAATCTCCATCAACTTTCATTACTTTAAGACAAGTGAATTACAAACATTAATGTACATTTTGAAATTTGTTCTAAAAGGAAATGCAATTTTGTGTGCAATGCAAATTGAATTGTTGGTTTTGATAATTTCTTTGACACTTTATTTGCATTTAAATTATAATGAAATAAATTATAATTTCATTTTCATAATAAAGAATAAGTGAAAAATTAAAACTAAAAGCGAAAATTGAATACATGCAAAAACTGAAATTATTTATAATGCGTGAAATAGCGTTTCAAATACCAACATAAGGGAAGCATGTAAGTGGTGTTAAGACAATTTTTGG